TCACTCTTTGCTGAAGAATTTAGACTGAGGCTGCTCACAGTCAGTCCTGTCACAGAGACCCCCTTCTCTTCTCTATTAGTTTTGACAGCCCAGCTCTGTTCGTAAAAGCCAGGTTAGATACCTGGGTTTGGTCATTAGGTTATCAAACCTTTGAATTATATTTCTCCGATTAACTCAACTGGGACCATACATAAGCTACTATATGCTGTATGCCCATTTCTAAAGAGAATGTGTCTTAGGCTACCCCATACACCTACATAGAACTGCTGACCATAAGACTGTTGATTACAAGAAAATTTTCTTTGCACATGCATATTAAAAGTAAGCCATGCCCTAGGCATATGACTCAACAACATGGAAAGCAACATAGACCATTGCCTATCATTCCTCTCTCTTGATACAGTAATCAAAGCTGGTCCTTCTTGTCTCAAAATAACTGTAGCCGCAGCTAAATTAGTTGAAACATCTTCAGATCTTGCCCTGGTATCTTTGTTAAATCTGATGTTACCACATACGGTACAAACAGTTCTCCTCTCTAAGTTACGCATTAACTCTATAAAAACACCAAATATTTTTCTATGAGTTGACTGAGTAAATATAAAGTGTTATTAATTTCTCCTCACATTGTTCAACTGTAACAGTTCTCAGTCAAAGGACTGTTGCAACTGTACTTCCGTCATTCAAGAAAAGTTCACATCTAGAACAGATCTTTTGGACACTCTCATACCAAGTTCTGCATTAAAAATGTTTTTTTCAAACTGAATATTTTATCAACAGGGTAGTTATCTTTGTAACGTGTACACACACACTTGCACACTCAGAATGATCTGCCTGGGGGGAAAAAGGCTAAGTACGCCTAAGGAGAAAATGAAAAATGAAAAAAATGTCTGGTGGGTTTTCATCATTGTAGGTGATTCTGTCCACATCACTTAGAAGGCTATTGCCTAATCTGTCCAAGGAAGCAGAGTTTGAGACGGGAAGAAAAATACCTTAGGAAAAATTCAGCAATGTAGCACAGCAGAGCTCTCAGAATGAGAAAGCTGACATAGTGTGGATTTTAAAAGGCTTTAATGTCTTATCTTTAAAACTGAAAGTTCAATTTAAAAATTTAAAGGGACAACATCAGGTTGTTTATGTAATAACTACTCCAGACTCCTTTATAAAATTCACTTCCTTGACTAAGGCATAAGTAATTAAAGTAGCTGACCTTGTAGATCTCTCCTGGGCATGCCTGTTTACAAATATATATATATATATTCGGTGTTAGTAAATATGATTTTAACATATCTCACAGCTTCAAATACTATTGGAGACAATGAAATTGTTTATCTAACTTTTCTTGGTCCTCTCATATCCCTATTTAAAATAGACACAAAATACATAAATTATTTGATGTCATTTTGCCCCTCAAGGAAAGTTTTGTCATAAAGACAAAGTATCACAGTGTGAAAGGCACTGTAGAGGCTAGGAAAGCATGACTGAGCAGATCATCATGCTGAAGATAACTTTCTGACTAATCTTCATGCAAGCACTTGCTGTAGAACATAAAGACGTGGAGAAAGCTCAGTAATTCTCTCCTGTACCCAGAATACTGGGCCCTGACTTTGTAAGGAATCACTAGGAATGATCGATTTGTTTGATCCACGAGAACAATATACAACAGAACCAGGACAACTGCCTGGTGGAGCCAAATGATCTCCCGTGAATACTAGACAAAATCCTATGGAGACAAGGCATCAGAGTAGGGACATATTGGCTGCGACACTCAACAAATACTGTGGGGAAACTTTTCTAGGACGGCAGAGAATAGGGTCAGCTCATGCCTTCCTCGGAGCCAGAAAATCCCATAAAACCCATAAAGGGGGGATATAAACTGAAATACTGTCCCAAGGAAATATTTGCATATTTCCAAAAGGATTTTAAATAATTGCATTTTCTCCATGGTTTATGAGTATGTGCTAGTAATAGTAGTCTGATTTTCTATGTGAGTTGAAGCACTATTTTGACAAAATCAAGCACTCATGATACTTAAAAATCAACGTGATATGGTGTTTAATTATATGGCCTAAATGCAATCACAAGTATACTTTTAAGAGGAGAGTAGAGGGAGATTTAAAAACAGAAGAAGAGATGCCCGTGAAATCGCAGAGGCAGAGACAAGCGAGTTGTGGTCACAAGCCAAGAAAGGCTGGCAGCTACCAGAGCTGGAAGAGACAAGGAACAGTTCCTCCCCTAGAGCTTCTGGAGCAGGTAGAGTCCTGCTGACTCCCTGGTATCAGCTCAGTGACAACAATTTCAGCTCTGGCTTCTAGAACCATGACAGAAATTTCTTCTGTTGCTTTAAGCCACCAGACTGACGATAACATTTCCAGAGGTATTAGGAAACAAACCATGGTGATGGTTTAAAGCTGAGTGTCTGGATCTGGGGTAACAATGTACTGGCTGTGCACACTCTGGCTGCTTTTACTTACATTGCACACATTCTCGCCTGTGTACAGTAAAGCAGTTACGCCCATAGGAATTGTGCCTTCTCTCTCTTCTGACTTGGCTTAAGAGGAATTAGACAATAAAATACAAGCCATGCTTCCCTCTCCACTCCATTATTAGTCTTAGAGGAAATGTGTAACTGAATCACTGTGCTGCACACCAGAAACTAACACAACATTGTAAACCGACTACACTTCAATATTTTAAAAATCAGTTATAGAGGAAATGGTCCAGCCAAGACTCCCTCTGCTTCTACTGAAAAGGAGTTGGTGATCACAGTGAAGGAAATGGTCAAAGTTGGCCAAATTAAACACCTAGAAATAAATTTAATAATCTTGAAACATGGAGCTTTATTGAGAAGGACATTGATACACAGAGAGAAACACTATATTCTTTAATAAACAAATATAGACTTTCAGGAGTTCATTCTTTATAAGCCAATTTATAACCTTAATGTTATCACAAACTTAAATAACATTTTATATGAAAAGCAGAATTCACCTTTAAGAAATCTCTCATGGATCTATTAAAAAACAGGTTTTAGAGTA